AAGTTACTTTCAGCAACGATCGGATATGTAACCCCACTCAGAAAACCGGGGTCAAGGGCTCCTCTCATAAGGAAACGGTAATAATGGGCTTTTGGATGTGTGGTAAGCGAAACTGACACCTAGCGGTTTAGGGGAAGCAAGAGGTAAAACATATATTGACGACCCTAACTTGTTTAAATGCGCCAATAAAGCATAAAAAGAGAGCGTGCAATTTGAAGTACTGGAAATTATGAGCTGTAACCGGGTGGAAAAGCATGAAAACCGGGGGCATTGGTTAAGTATTCCAGGCGAACTGATGCCAGCCCGTGACGAACAATTGGACCGTAAGAGAAGGTAAGAAGCATACATCGTTAAATCCGACGCTCGTGCTGGCCGCTACTGAGGATATACTTGAAGTTGAATAAATTGAAAGCCTAGCACCAGACCCTGAACCCTTACCTACCTCTTACACTACTTGCTAATCTACCCCTATGCCGTACGCTCATCCTAAAGTTAACCCTTACGGATTAACTAAAATGGGAGGGGTTTAACTTAAGCCTCAACAAAGACTAGGTTGGGTCACCTATCCGCTCGTTACCTTTCTTTGTATCCTTTGGACCAGGTTTAGGTAATACATGAGAAGAGGTGTCGCTCCTCCTTCCAGGTGACCCTGCGGTAAATTTCAGGGAGGGTAAATATTTCCATATGTTAAACCTAATCATAAGCCCTCACTTAAACTTACCCATAACCTTCAATTACTTATAACTTTAACCGAACCTTAGTCTCGCTGGAATTTAATTCAAGACCATATTTACTACGAAGAGAGCCTCCTATTCCCGTGTCTTACTCGTATTCGTATATGATACATTTTCTAATGCAATCCATCAGTAGCACGTACTTGTCCTTTTCCAGGGTGTTTGTGGCTGTAGGGGACCTTGTTTTGACAGCTTCAGGCGCCTCATAACTAACTTATACTTAGGTCGTCCCAGCAAGCCGTAAGGTCTGTGGTTTCTTAGCTTGAAGGACAGTGTTTCATACGATAATCGTCGTCGCCGTCGTCATTATCAGTTGACCGGCCAAAGACGGGTGCTATGAAAACTCCTATACTGTTTCCTGTACGGAAGTTGCACTATTGTCGGGCAATGGTGGCAAGCAAACACTAAACGGTTATCACAGTCCTCCTTGCTTCTTTTATCGGTATCTTCTTTGCTTCATTGGTCTCACTTTCTTGTCAGGAATGATAGTATCCGAGCGGACACTTCGAGTGGACCCCGCGAGCTTCCAAGTTGGAAGAGCTGAAGCTGTTGCCTGTCTGTGTCGCATCTTCATCTACGCGAAGAACGATCAGGTGTCGCTGGAACAACTCACCAGATTCTACGTCTGCCTCATTCGCGCCCTCTCGGTGGACCCTGTATGTCGTGTTATCTTCGCCACTTTTTTTCCGGTGACCTCTTACGGAAAATTATCGACCATAAAGACGAAAATCTGAGGGAGTTTTTAATCTCAAGCAAATTGTCCCCTTAGGGGAATCGAGAGATGCAAATTTATGTCCATACGAATGGAGGCCAATGCGTGAGCCTGAGGTTCTTGTTACAAAGTAGATGAACAGGTTATCACTGGAACAGTATGTGTGTTAGTCTTTGTAGTCCAACATGGGAGAAGGGGGTAGGAGTGGTGTTCGTGATAAGACTGATTCCACGCCGTTTCACGGTTTGCATCCTTGGCTGGGAACTGGGCC